AAAGGGATAACCACATCAAAGAATGACATAACCACATCAAATACTGAAACAAACACATCATGTAGTGTAAAATCGTCAAATTTTGAAACATCATTACGTAATGTTAAAGCCATATAAAGAATTGACAAATCATCATTACGCAATAACAAAACCACATCATGTAATGAAACAACTACATTACGTTTTATTATTCTTCATGTCAAAATGCCAGATTTTGATTGGCTTATACGAGGGTGTTGATTTACTCTATTATCCTTCATGGAGACGCTTGATCAAGTGTGCGCTTTATTAAATACGACTCTATCCTATGGCAAATACTCTATAATAATTACCCTTCACGGAGACGCTTGATCAAGTGTGCGCTTTATTAAATACGACTCTATCCTATGGCAAATACTCTATTACCCTTCACGGAGACGCTTGATCAAGTGTGCGCTTTATTAAATACGGATGGTTATTATGTACAAGACGTCATAGTTTATTACTTTGAATTTGCAATTTAATCGACAGTAATAACAGAACATTCAGTATAATAAATTTAATAACACATATCTGAGAGGGTGATAGAGCAGATGGTTACCCCTCGAAAAGACATTGTCAACCTTGGCTTCGCCTCAGTTGACAATGTTTTCTCGGGGTAACAATCTGCTCTATCACCCTCTCAGCTATGTGTTATTTATATAATGTCACATACACATCAAGTAATGTTAAAACCACATTGCCTAATGACATAACCACATTAAATAATGGTGAAACCACATCGAGTAATGACAGAACTATATTAAGTAATGGCAAAACTATATCAAGTCAATACGAAACCATATCATGTAATATCGAAATATCATTTTGTAATGACTATTCCATATTGAGTTATATCAAAACATCATTACGTAATGTCAAAACCATATTAGAATCATGTGCAAAACAGTGTAGCCGAGACCATTGATTGGCGCGCTAAAATATCCCATTGACTGGGTCAGATTAGGTGAACGTTCGTGTGTAACGCCCACAACTCACAACGTATTTATTATAGACATTTAAACTGTGGGGTCACCAAAGGGTCTCAACGCCTAAATAAAATAATTCGAAAAACTAATCAGGAATAACCTTTGTGTTTTGATTTATATTGAATACTTAAACGTTCTTTACTTGTGTTTTTGTTATGTTTTGATAATGAATTTTTATGATATCGGACGTTCTTTCAGCAAAAAAGGATTTAACTGGCTTTAAAAGTTACAATGGATGTGTTGATTATTATCTTTTTTTCGGACGTCAAAGCGATTTAACAATTGCGGTTGTCCAATTATGTCATCTTTTAACTTTTATCTGGTCAAAATTTTATTTTAGAACGAATGCATGATCAACTTTAAAAAGTGTGCAAACACAAAACATATAGACAAAATATACTTCTTTCCTGTCTTTTTTGTACTTGCAAGTTATTAGACAGTAAAAAGGCTATTTGGATCAAGCCTTGAGAAATTTGCATTTACGTTTTTGAATAGGTACAGTCAAGTTTAGCGATTGATAATTCATTGTTAACATTCTGGCGTATCACACACAAACAACTTGTAACGTCTCATTTCATTGGCCGAAAGATTTAAATACAACAACAATTGTAGTGTGCACGTGAATTGACACAGGTGACCGACAGTGGAATGTACTACGTTACTAAGAACGTAAAAAACAATGATTTTTGGTCGAAATAATTAAATAAGTATTTTGTGAATTTCAAATAGTGGGGTCGAAATATTATACTAATAATTTGTGTTAAGTAATATCCTTTATGCATGCAGCACTTGTACCGCACTATGAAAAATATAAGGATAAAATAAAATACATGTGCCGCTTTTATACGGATGAATGTATGAACCACTTTAATTTCTTTCATATTGACGCTAGGTTATTATCCTGACAATGTCGTAGTTACTTATAATAAGGATCTCATAATACTGATCCATTTCAAATTTATGATAGGTTGCACATTCCTCTTTTATTGTTTTCATGCTATAAAACGAAAATAAAGTAGGTAAGCGTTTGGTCATTCAGAAATGACGTGTCATAAACGAGCAAATTGTTCCCGAAAGATCGTATCATGTGTGCACGTGAATATAGATGTACTATGCAATGTACTATCATGGTCACCACGAAATTCAAATGAATTCAGTGAAGGCATGTTGGTGTAAAAAGGTTTGAAATGTTTCATCGGCGAAGATTTTATTTTTGCATTTGTGGAACTAAAAAATAAATAAATACTTGTGAGAAATGTCGTAGTTTGTAAGGAACTATATAAATGTACTGTTTTCGATTTTAATTGGTTGAAAATTTATCCTTTAATTTCATACCGTAAGAATAGAGCTTTGCTTAACATTGTTGAACTATCCGCCAAAGTAACGTGTGGCATGCGTGCGTATTAAAATGAAATACAAAATCATACATGTATGATAAACTTATAAACGAAATATTAAGAAATTAAGGATGACTACTGTAAAAGTATGTACAAAAATGGAGTCACCTTTTATCAATACATTTAGTGAATAACCACACTGTTTAAAACTGATTGTTTTCTATGCAACTATTTAAATATTTACAATATATAATTTTCAACCGAGGATAGCAAAACAGTTAATTATAAATTAAGAAAGTATATCGCTGGAGTTTATAAAGTACATTTCCTTCCACTGTGCCATGGTTTGCCATCTCCATTTTTTCTCTTAACAAAGCATGGCTGGTTACATGTTCTGAATTTACTTAGAATTTCGGGATTTTTTTTTTCAAAATCAAGTAAACTAAATCAGAAAAAAATCACACTATCCTAAAACTTATGAAAGAATATGAATAATGAACATGACAGTTTATAACACAAACCCATTTACTCTAAAAATCGAGCAATATCTTTAGTATGTAATTTGGTTATTTTTGTAGTTAAGTACGGTTTCATTTCAAGTACAACGTTAATTCATCAAGTCCATTGAATAAAAGATAAGGCAGGGTGAGCAACTTGACAAAAAAAGGCAGGATGACGATTTATGTAAAAAAAATCAGGATAAACTAATAAATATAATCAGGACCTAACAGACTGAAAAATAGAAAGACAGGACAGAGATAACAACTAAAAAAAATGCAGGACAAAATGTTTCATCCAAGTCCCCCACCCCCAATCAAAATAAAATGGTAGCTCCCTTAATCCAGAACCAATTGAGAGGAGACAGTTGAATTAAATATTTCGACGTGACTGTTAAGATTAAAGTTTAAAATTTTACATGCACATGTATAAAAGCTAGAATTGCCATGGGATAATCAAGAACACAATCATGTACGTGAATACGACGATGGAAGTTTTTAACGACCTTGACCGGCTACGTGAATACCGATCAGTCCATTCAGCTTTAGGGAGCTACCATTTGATTTTTTTGGGGGGCTAGGATGAAAAATTTTGTCCTGCATTTTTTTTTAGTTGTTATCTCTGTCCTGCATTTTTATTTTTCACTCTGTTCGGTCCTGCCTTTTTTTTTAAAGTTTATCCTGACTTTTTTTTTACCTAAATTGTCATCCTGACTTTTTTTTTGCAAGTGTCTCATCCTGCCTTTTTTTTTTACTCAAAACTCCTGTCCTGCCTATTTTTTTCAAATTTCATCCTAGACCCCCCCCCCCCCCCCCCCCCCCCCCCATACAAATCAAATGGTAGCTCCCTTATAGTACGCGTGTTCTATTTTCGCAGGTGTGAGGTCGAAGGTTTGAATTGACCAATGAAAACGATCGTTTCTTAACGAGTTAATCTAATAAAGTTTGTTTGACTGATTATGTTGCACGACCTTTCGCTAAGCTTGGCCGCAGTTCAGTATACAATGTATAGTTTGATGATCTTTTCTGCTAACTACTATACTTGTGAAAAACCCTTGGCAACAGAAACATATTCAGCTTTTTTTTTAATCGACCCAATTTACATAGTAATGGACGACTTCGTACATTTTATGATCGCAAATAAGATATGTATATAATATACTGTGCACTGTAGTACGTATATATACTGAGACCCTTTGGCAACCCCACAGTTTAAATGTTTATAATAAATACGTCGTGAGTTGTGGGTTTTACAGACGAACGTTCACCTAATCTGACCCAGTCAATGGGATATTTTAGCGCGCCAATCAATGGTCTCGGCTACACTGTTTTGCACATGATTCTATGTAAAGACAAACTATCATCAAGTAATAATAGAACAACATAACATAATATCAGAGTTCCACATAAGACAGCTGTGGCGTTCCATATGTGTTGCTAAACTTTTTTTGAATAGTATATAATTGACAGTTTAATTGAACAATAACATAAAAACGTGACATGTATTAATCTGACTGCAATATATTTACTTGTTGCAAAAACTTTATGACGGATGTAGTTCATAATTCTATTTCAGTATTTGTTTTAAACATAAGTGTGAAATTAACCATTGACATTATTTAATCTAAGATTTTATTTGATTACAGTTATGGAAAAGAAACGGATACGCAATTTTACGTGATGATTTTTTTTATTCAAAATAGAATATCAACATATTTAGTAAATACTGATAATCATATAGTTCAATCTGTTTTGTTGACCATTGCACATACATTGCTCGTTGAGGAACTCAATATAAATTTCTGGAGTGTTGATAACTCGTGTTTTCTACGGCTATCTTTAACTGAAAATAAAGAATTCTCAACACCAATAAGTAACATAACAAATAGAAGTCTAAAATTCATTTTTTTTGTAATGCAATCATTACAGTTGCTATTTTATATGACAGTACTTAATTTCTTTGATTGACCATATATATATTCGTTTTAAAGTTAAAGTAATATGATCATATAATTGATATTCCGATGGTCTAGATATCTAATTGTGTCGTATAGGTCTTTTCTCCTTGACGTTTAGCGTGCCTCCTTTTCTCCTTGACGTTTACCGTGCCTCCTTTTATTCAATTCATTCATGTTAAAGTTTCTATTTTCTATTTAAAGTGGCCACCTTTTGTAGAATTTAACAACAAAACGAAACAATATACTGGAATATCAATCGAACTAGTAAAGCAACTTGCAGATGGACTTAATTTCACGTAAGTTTTATTTTGTTAGCTGTATAGAATTACCGATGTTCGAATATGTTAATGCCAATCCATCTGGGAATGAAAGTGAATATATGAAAAAGGAGAAAACTTCTACTTCATAGAACTGAATACTTAACAAGGCGAACCCCACCCCAAAACCGGGGATGAACTCATGTGGAAGGGTAATTCGTTCCTATTCCTCTTGTGGTATCACTGGAAGGATGGTAACTTTCCAGTAATGACCCGATATTCTTATTACTAGAAGATCTAAATACAATGAATTGATGGTTAAAAAATAATACCATCTCTTCACTGCCCTAATGATTCATTATCTGAAAAAAATAAGAGAAATCCATGCCATGCCCTTAACACTTTTGTTTTTTACTCGGAACTTGAAAGATTACTCTGCAACTAACTTAATACTGAACAAAAATGACAAGGAGTTAAACATTTAGTACAAATGGTTATATAACGTTTAATCGGTTTAAAAAAAAAGCCATTTAATATAAAATTTAGTAAGATAGAAATTTAGTTTTGTTTACTGTTGTATAGATATGAAATCAAAGAGCCACCAGACGGACATTGGGGTATTCAATTGGATAACGGTTCTTGGACAGGAATGGTCGGACAGTTGCAACGTAGGGTTAGTAACCAATGGATTCTTTTCATGAATCCAAATTAAAAAAAAGGATACCAGATAAGAAAGCAATGATTTGTTTAACTCTACAAAGAAGCAATTCAATAGTGGGGATTCTATTTTTATGTTGTTTATAGATTACTAAACAAAAGATAAATACAAGAAAATACAGTACAAATCAGTACAGGAAAACTTTATAATGACCCTACACTCGAAAAAAGAAAGACGCAAGCGCAAACATAACTACAATAAACAATAGTATACCGTATAAAAGAATACATATAGCTACTGAATATAAGTTGAAAGTACTTAGCCTGTTGATTAGAAATTATGCCGTCCTAAACTCTTATATTGTCCATAATAGATATTTGCATACCACAATAGCATACAAAGTACAGAAAATACAGTCGTAAATAGTAAGACACGATCTTAAGCAGTGCACAGAACAAACTGTACAGAATTGTAATGCAGAAAAACAAAGGAAACATGCCAGTCTTTCTTCAAACTTTAAATTTCATAATGATGTTCACCTCCCCCTCCCCCCCCCAAAGAAAAAACCCAGAAAAAACACTTTATAAGTTTTTAATTACTCGGTCTCGTACGTAATTTTCTCTATCTCTGCTTACAAACTAATGGACGAATATCGGTGATGTTAGTTAAGATTCTTCTCACTTCATATGTCAAAATATATGGGATAAATTATACATCATAATGAATTGAAGAAATGTATGGGAACTAACCTAATATTACAATATTGGCACATAAAAACAATGGCATTATGACAGGAATGCTGTCTTAGTGAATGAAAAAAAAAATAACACCATTTGTCTTGTAAGGAGGTCATTATTTAATTGTTTTATATGTCCGAGAAAATGTTTTATTGAACGAAATTACATTGTTGTTCTCTGTGACTCAGACTACAATATTATTTATCAGATCACAGTTTATATAATACTTTAATGTACGGATCTTTAATGCAATAATTCTTCAATATATTCTTTTCCTTTAAGTACATACTAATTATGTAACAGAACCTTTAAGATTTAGGTTTACAGCCTTATTCTCGTTGCTCCTTCGTTGATTTAATGATCGAATGGTACAATAAACTAAAATTTCTTTTCCTATTGCAAATCTCAACCAAATAAGTATTTCAATTTAGGAAATAGACTTTGTAGCAGCGCCATTGACTGTTCAAGCACAAAGGGAAATGGTCATCGACTTTACTCATCCATATTACCATGAAACAGCAGTCATTTTAATGAAGACACCAGATCAAAATGATTCACATTGGACTCGATTGCTTGATCCTTTAAGTCCTATCGTCTTTCTATGCATTGGACTATCGCTTTCAATTACTTCTTTCCTTATTTTCATTTTTGAAAAATATAACCCATTTTACCGTTGTGAGAGGGAACAAAGATTGAATAAAAGAGGACTTCACCATTTCTGTGATTCCTTTTTGTATATGTATGGAGCCTTACTCAGTCAAGGTAGGATTACTATTTTTGTAGCAAAATATTAATTTTCAATTTTATTTTAATTGCTTTGAATCATATTTTCTTTATTTGAAAACATTAATATCATTTATACAGAAATTGCTTCTTCAAAAAGCTTTGATAGATACAGTTGCAGAAGAACCAATAGTTTAGAAGCATTATAAACAGGGAGGGACAAAATAAAAAGTACCATTTAAAGCCACTTAAAAAATCTAATTTCAATTAACTTTTCTTTAACCAGTTGATAGCTGATGGAACTTGTTTTCTTGTAGCCATCTTTTTTTGTTGTTCCTGTTATCGTACTACGTAAGTTTCTGTACAATTAAGCAGGTACTATTTATTAAGCCGTCTATCTGAGTATCTCATCATATACTGGTCAACTCTATTACAGGTAGTGGACATGTGGCCGCTTCATCTACGGGGAGAACATTTCTCAGCGCATGGTGGCTATTTTGCATAGTAGTTGCGGCAACATATAGCGGAAACTTTGTTGCATTCCTAACATACCAGAAAGTTGTTCTTCCTTTCAAAGATATCGAAGGCCTGATAGCACAGAACACATATAAATGGGGCACCACAGGAGGAACTGTGTATGAAACTCTATTCCAGGTAAGGTAATAATGGAGTATTTACTGGTAGTTTTATCAACGCTTCGACTGATTTTATAGAAGTATACGAACAATTGAGCAAAAATATTAATAGAAACGTACGCGAATATAAAATATTCAAATTTGTACTATTTCATTTTAGCTTCCACTATTTCTTTTTATCAATTACTCTATTTAGTATTTCTGAAAAACGGTTCATATCATCATTTCAATTTCTAACATTGTTCATATGCTATAAGGATAGGACATATTATAGTCAATGATTGTTAAAAGTTCTGACAATTGAAAACGATTCGAAAAGAATCATCAGCCATCCTCACGGCTATTATTAGTATTAAGAGCAACTGTTTTTTTTAGAATAAAATCCATTCGCCTTTTGATTTCATGATATCATTTCACGGGCGCCTCAAAGATTGACTAGGGTATAAACATACGGTCATCCCTATATGTCTTACATTCAGCAGAAATGGGACAGTGCATGGCGTGTAAATACACAGCAATGTCCGATAGGAATTTGGACGATAAATCTGATACCTCTTTTAAGGGAGTGGAATGCACGTTAGTGAACCATCGCATCAACTATTTGAGGGAATCCGTTTGAAGCTTGTTGCAACTCAAAATTTATTTGGCTATCAAAGATACCCTTTTTCCTAGTGGCAGTAGAATTTCCACTGTTGATCACACTTTACTCACTTCGCAGAACCTGCATATTGAGTTTATTGTTAAGTTGTTTCCGTTCTGAAAATGCATTAATACTTGCCACTGAACGTTATACAAACAATAGTCAACCAATCAATATTTTCACAAACCTTAACAGAATGAATGTAATACCTTTGAATCCGGAATCAGTACTTAAAATCTTATATTTGGCACAGACATCTGAAGTACCTGCAGTCAAAGGAGTATGGAATGGAATAGTTCAGTTTAGCAAAGATGATCCATCTGTACTTGACCATGATACTCAAGCCCATATAAGAAAGGTTGAAGGTGGAAATTATGCGTATTTTGGTGATAGAACTCTTGTAGAACTATCAATGACTACCAGCTGCGATTTGGTTTTGGCATCAACTGATATTTTCTATTTCACATATGCCATTGGTCTTCCAAATCACTCACCTTTTGAAAAGATTTTTTCTGACGAGTAAGTAAATATTATAAAGAAATACTGACTAGGGGCAAATGAAATAGATCTGTTTTCATTTTCGGATTACCAAGCTCTTGAAATATCTTAATTCTAATTTAAAGAAATTAAATCTGCATTTATCGTCAATTATTTATATGCTCATTAAGGTACGATAAGACCACCTTTTTTTGGCCCCTTGCATTATAAAATCAAAATGTAATATGAATCTTTTAAATTACATTTTTTAGATGTTCAAAAAATTAAGTTTGCCGGACAGCAGTGTTTACATTTTCAAATTTGCCTTACATATTGGCATTAGGGCTTCAAACTTCCTACATTAAGTGCAAAACATAAAAAAAAAAATGTGAAATAAGCCTATTTAAATATGAACAAAAGGTTAATCCAGACAGATATTTTGCTACAAAGCGTATTTTACAAAGATATGAAATATGAATAGATTATCACTTTGGGTTACAACCGAGCTCATATGTGACCCGTCATGACATTTGAAGGCTTATGGCGGTAAACGTCATAATGAGATAACGTCGATGGAAAGTTACATAACGACGTTACGTAATAGGGGCACCTGTTATGGAATGTCCAATTATATCATGCGGTAAAATAGAGTTTCATTTTTTTCATGACTTGAGGAAAGTTGAATTTTATAATAAGATATACAAAACAAGTAGATCTTTTACGTTGAATTAATAATTTAGGTTAAATCCCTTTTCAATCACGTTCGAAATTTACACAATTTATCTTTTAGATTTCATTGCGTAAATAATTTTCACATGAATCATTAAGAGCAATTCTCTGTAACCACAAACCATTTTATATAGGGGGGTCGGCACGCATAGCCACCGATTTTCATGAAACTTAGCCAAAACATGTGATCATGTAAAAAAGTAAGAAAAATGCCCACCAAAATATTGCTAGCCCATGGTTGCCATGGCAACCAAGTAAATGAGATTTCCCGCAAATTTTGAGGAATTTAGCATCGAAAAAACAACTACTTTGCAGTCATTCGTAAACAAAACCAGGTTTTATTTATTGATATTTGTAAATATTTTTCAGAAACATGAAACTTAACAAACAAAATAGCAATGTCATATATAAAAAATATTTTTGCTGAATATTGTCACAACCGCAGAAGCAGAGGTCATTTTTCATTGTGGTTGAGTAGACAAATTTCACACATTTTGCATGAACAAAATAGACATTTTTGCATCCACCTCCATTTAAGCTGTGGTTATGAATGAAAAGTATCAATGTTTCTTATCAATAAATTATAACAAAATGTTTGGGATATTGGGTTCTAGGATGGTTGCTATGGAAACAAAAATGTGTCACATTTTCCTTTTTACCTCTAAAATGTGGCCATGTTATTAAAATAATCCACAAATAGTAATAATTATTGAATGACTATGATGTGCAAAATATTGGCAATTAAATTACCATAAATTTGTCCAGAGGTCAAAGGTCATTGATGACCTTGACCTTTGACCTTATGTATATTAATTGAATTTTGAAAGGAAATGTAACAGAAAGAGGCATACTATACATGGAGAAAATGTTCAGGACGTTTTAAGCCACTATTTTATTAACATATGAAAAAATAAAGAGTCAAGATCATGTCAAAAGTGCTTAGCAACCACCCTTATTTGATGAAAAAATTAGCAACCATACATGATTTCATTCAGGACTATATAAACTATTACATAGACCTAACTTAAAAGGTCGGGGGGGGGGGGGGGGGGGGGGTTATCATCACATAAGTTTTAAATAATCATTAATTTTAAGTGTAAAAATGCCTAGCAACCATTTATTTATATTGAAAAAGTGCAGAGCAACCATTTATTTATTTAGAAAAACTGCGCAGCAACAATATATTTTAGGTTTCATTGGGACAAAAATCAGAAAAAAAAATAATATTAAACATGCAGTTTTCCTTAAGAACACATGTCTTATCCAGAATAGTATATTATATAGCAAATTCAATTTCATGAGACTGATTACACATTCAAATACAAAAATTTAAAAGATGTCGTCCGATGAGACAACTCTCTAGAAGACAACCGACTGTTATTTTTAAGACAGGTCCTTTGAATCTACAAGAAGAAGAGAAAAGGAATATAACTGCTAAGAGATCGACGAGTTTATTTCTTTGGTTGGGATTGGCCTTTCGAGCATAGACAAAATATTCATTTACAATGTTTCATTTTTATTTCCATAGCAACCATCCTAGAACCCAATACCCCAAACATTTTGTTATAATTTATTGATTAGAAACATTGATACACACCGTTTTTGTATTTTAAATGGTTTGTGGCTGATGTGCATCTGAATGTACAGACAATTCCTTTTCAGCATGTTTTGTGCAATATTATTGATCTTCAGATCAAGACACGATCACAATCATTTCATTAAACATCCATTATCTCCATCATAAAATATAAAATGGTCTTTCCTAACTAATAGAACTACCCTGCATCCGCTCATTGCTATGTTTGTATTTCAACAGTGGAAGATTGAAAAAAAAAATTATTAAAAAAATACGTTGTGTGTTTAGCAAAGGTTATTTTTTAATAGAGCCACAGGGCCAATTGAGATTTACTCATAATATTGGGCTAGTCGTCGTTAACTTTAAAAAAAAAATCTCCACTGAAATTAATAATTGAACAGACTTGGCCAATCAGGATCCGTTTTTGGCCCCAAAATATAGAATTATTACAAATTTGCTAAAAATGTAAACTCTAACGCTATTTATAAGAAAGTGGAATGCGTTTGTTAGATAAATATGATTCGTCTTTGACAACACAATGGACACGCGTCAGGTACTTGAATCATTATGTTATGCAAAAATACTGAAATTTTAGCATTTGTGCTAATTGTAAGACGGTTTTTGTCTGAAATGGAAATGGTGGCACTTGTGTTCAGTCTTAATATTAGAATAACAATATTGTATGTAATGAAAATGCATTACATATATAAATGTTGAGACTGAACATGAATTCGGCAACTTCCATTTTAGACAAAGAAAAACATCCAAAAAATGAAATTTTATAGCAAATTTGATAGATTCATATTTGAACTTGAATTTTAGCATTTGTAATGACCAAATCAGTTCAAATCTTTAACACAAACTGATTGATTCAAGGGAAGTACACACTTAAGTGTCTAAAATGTAATATTTTTGGCAAAATTATCTTTTACCGGACTCGTCTTAAACCAGATATGGATACAATCATCATTAGAGTATGTACTTTAAAAATGTATCCCATGATGGCTTTCATGGCTAAAATAGAATATAAGAATAAAATGCAAGTTTAAATTGTCTTTCATCATGAAAATTGTTATAAATAGAAAAACCTGACAGCATCTTTAATATTCCGAGTGAAAGGATCTAACTATAATCTATTGACAGGGGAGTTTCTGGCCAGAAATGAAGAATTTTAACCTTTGTTATGCCCCGCTGAAGCAGACGAGGAATTAAGTTTTACCCTTGTCCATCTGTATGTACGTCCGTACGTCCGTCCGTACGTCCCAAAGTTGGTTTCCGATCTCTTACTTTAGTTTACCTCAACCAAATGTTATAAAACTTTACACAATGCTTATTACCACAAAACACAGATCGAAATTGGGTGGCATCACTTTTACAGTTTAGGAGTTATGACCTTTATAAACAATTTTGCCACAAATTAGGTGGCGTCACTTTTACCGTTTTGGAGTAAATTAATGTTCCTTTATAAACATAACAATTGCTGATTTTTGTGTTTCCACTCTCTAACTTAAGTTTGCCTCAACCAAATGATATGAAACTTATACACAATGCTTATTACCTCAAAACACAGATCAAGTTCGAAATTTGGTGAGGTCAACTTTCCAGTTTTGGAGTTATGACCCTTTATAAACTTAAAAATTGCTGAATTTTTCATTATCGTTCTCTTATTTTAGTTTGCCTCAGTCAAATGTTGTTAAACTTGTATACAATGCTTATTGCCACATAATACAGATCAATTTCGAAATTGGGTGGCGTCACTTTTACCGTTTTGGAGTTATATGCCTTTATAAACATAATAATTGCTGATTTTTTTCGTTTCCATTCTCTCACTTTAGTTTGCGTCAACCAAATGTTATGAAACTTATACACAATGCTTATTACCACATAATACAGATCATGTTTGAAATTTGGGGGTGTCACTTTTACAGTTCTAGAGTTATTTTTGTTTACAAATGGAAAAATTGCTGAATTTTGTTTCTGTTCTCTAACTTAAGTTATCCTCAACCAAATGTTATGAGACTTATACACAATGTCTTTTACCACAAAACTCAGATCAAGTACAAATTTGGATAGCGTCACTTTTACAATTCTTTAGTTATGTCCCTTTATAACTTCATAAATATGATATGCAAGCGGGGGCATCATCTGTGTTCCACGGACACATTCCCCATTTATGTTTTGTCTTTTTTGCCTATTATCTTGAAAACAATAAAAGAGAAAGAGAAACATTTAATTTAATAGATTATAAGCAGCACCAGATCTACTTCGTTTAAATCGTCAGCTGATTTTTATTGAAGTTATTGCCCTTTAAAGACGGGGTTTTTTTGTGTGCGCTTTTGCCTAATATCAAAAATACCATATTATAACAGAAGGAAATTTTAAAATTCAAAAATTATCAGCAAGACACGATTACAAATAATTTAACATGGTTAAATTCGTTTGACAACCCCTTATTAGAGTAAATACCTTTTAAAGACGATTTGGGGTAACAATCGTTATTTAGTATTAACATAAATATATTGATTTTCATATGTTGAAGTTATAATCTTTCAATCAGTTTAATTGAGGTCTGGAGCTGGCATGTCAGTAACTTCTAGTAGTCCTTTGTTCATTTATGTATCATTGTCATTTTGTTTAGTTTCTTTTGTTACCTATTCTGACATCGGACTCGGACTTCTTTTAAACTGAGTTTTACTGTGCGTATTGCTATGCGTTTCTTTATTCTACATTGGCTAGAGGTATAGGGGGAGGGTTGAGATCTCACAAAACATGTTTAACCCCGCCGCATTTTTGCGCCTTTCCTAAGTCGGGAGCCTCTTGTTAATCTTGTATGTTTTTAAATTTTTGTTTATTTATATGTTTTGGAGTTTAGGGTGACGTCCATTTTCACTGAACTAGTACACAATTTTATTTAGGGGCCAGCTGAAGACCACCTCCGGGTGCGGGATTTTCTCGCTGCGTTGAAGACCCATTGGTGGCCTTCGGCTGTTGTGTGCTCTTTGGTCGGGTTGTTGTCTCTTTGACATATTCCCCATTTTTATACTCAATTTTATTGATATAGAATAAGCTATGTATAGCTACAAGTGTAAATAAACAAGATGTACATAATTGGGATAAAGAAACAAGAAAAATTGCTGTTATTTGAATTTGTCTCCCTTAGCATTCATTTAAGGGCAAAACGCCAATATGGAGTAAAATGAAAATTTCGAATATGTTGATTTAATGATTAGTCTTGTTAACATAAAAGTAAAACAGGAGGCCCCTGGGAAATGATATTATGATTCAACTGGTATTTTTTCGTGAAATTGATAAAATTGGAAAAAACAGCAATTTGTAATTCAAGTAGGAACAGGAGACAAAGTAGCTGGCGATTAACTGAAATGTACATGAGTAAACTCATGTATGTGAATTATTTAAGAAACACAATTACAGTTCTTAAAAGAAATTTGAAAGTCTAATTGGAAGAATGAATTACAACTTTAGTTTTTAAATTTCAGAACTTTTACCTAAAGCACCAATACAAGGATGGTTGCTATGCATTTTCTAATTATATGAGAATGGCTGGTAAAGTTTATGTTCGCAATATTAAGCCCTTAACTTTTAATTAGGATCTATATCATAGATCGTATTAATCTGAACCCAACTATGTATGGTTGCTAGGTACTTTTATATCAAGTAAGGGTCGTTGCTCAGAACTTAAAACATGACCTTGACCTCTGGCATTTTGCTTTCTTACCAAATAAAAGCAAAATTTTGTCTACACTCTTTTTCTAAATACTTTTTGGGTTTATTTGTTACAATTTCCTAACAAAATTAAATAAAAAAGATTGAAGGTCAAAGTCAAGGTCATCAATAAGCTTTGACCTTGAGAACAACTTTCAGGTCATTGAATGCACAACATGTCCCAAGTGATTTTTATTTTGTATCTGTCACTGTTTTAAAGCTACTTTAATAACAATGTCAAAATTCTTTTTCAAAATACTAAAAATGACACTTTTATATTCCCATAGCAACCACCCTAGCAACTAATTTCCCAAACCTTTATTGATAAATTATTCCTAGACAACAGTGATAGTTTACATGTATTATCTTAGTATAATTGGTTGTGGATGCAAAAGTGTAAAATGATGTCATGCAAAATGCCTATAATTTACCTTCTTGAATACATTGAAAACTCCACTATTTAAATCAGTGCTACCCCTTCTTCCCCTTTTGTCAGAAATAATTTTTATCTTTCATCTTACTCATTAAGTGTTATATTTTAATGAACAAAAGTCAAAATATTCATAAAACTTGAAATGTGTGCATGATTACTGCTTAAAATGGGTCATTTTTGTTCGTTAAAATATGCATTTTTGAGGCAAAATCCAAGGGAACCCGTTACCATGGCAACGGGGGCATAAACAATTTTTTTGTCAACATATTTCTTGTTTGTTTATCGATAGCTACCAACAAACCAAATTTCAAGAAAATCTGAGACTATGAGTGCCGCAACTTGGTTGGTGGTTTCAGAGAATTGCTAAATAAAATATGTTTCGCTTATACAAAATGGTTTAAATTATATCACCATTGCGATAAAAAAAGAACAGAAAAATCATAACTTTCTTGAAACAAATTGCAGCATGAACACCAAGTTTTTGGAGTAAATCTTAATGTTTAACATTGTAAAGGAAAATATAAATATAATTGTGTATGGACATATACCGGTACATGTAAATAAAACAAGATATATCTTCCTATTAGGACCCCAATAGTGTCTAATTCCATGTTTATTCCTATTTTTTTTTATCTATGCCTGTCTTAGAACTACATAAACAAGATGTATGTGTTATTGAAAGTTGTTTTGCATCCGCTTTTCCTTCATGCCCTAATATTATTGATCATGCTGTTTGATTTTCTCATCTTTCTCTGCATTAACAGATCTTTTATTTAATCACGTTGTCAGGATACATGTACAATATGTATTCACAAAAAGACAATAGATGAACATTAGAAAGCATATTAAATAATACACAGCTCATTGATGGTTTATTATATGTCTTGGTATTCACTTTACTAGCATTGGTATAGTTTTCCTTACGGAAGAAAGAAAATGTTTAAGTCATTATAATTTTGATTGCAGATTCCGAAAACATTGTTGCTATGACAACCGAATTAAAATTCTTCAGTTTTTAGTTATTAAAGCTACAATTACATTTTGATTAATTTAAAAAGACTAATGCCCCCGCCCTCCCCAACCCCCCGGCCCCAAAATAAAACCAACAAAACAATATGACATAGCAACTATAAAAATTGAACATACATGTGAATAATTGACAAAAAAATAAAGAAAAATGACAATAATTTTTTATTTTGAAGAATTTAGCAAAATAACTTGTCAGGGTATTTTTGTTTTATCTATGCATACTTGATAAAAATGCAAAAAAATCATTTTGACTCTGGTACCTCCATAAGCCTGAAAATCTCATATATTTTTTGACCAAAAAGTGTGCGTAAAAAGGGCAATTATAGGTCAAATAGGTATGTTTCGACATGCTTATGACGTCAAATAATCATACCTCCTCCTTTGATATTTTATCGCTTACTATTGCCGCTAACATTGTATAAATAAGTAAATGTTTACTTGCCACCAAGTTCAACTGTTGACATAAAGTTTATTCGCTCATTCAAACTCAATTAAATCATTTAAAATTGCATTGATACAGTGCTTATTCTATAATATTTTAATCCAACTAATTTGATAAAAACAATGCAGTTATAGAGTAGCCGACACTTATTGCATGCTAGATGTTGAAGGCCTCACTGTGACATTGAGAGAAAGAACAGCAATAAAAGCGCTGTTCCTTTGCTTTTTTGTGTGTTTATGCTGTGCGTGTACTGATGTTGTGTCATGAATGGATACCCCATATCCTTTGTTTTTCTATAAACAATTGTTTAGTATAAATATATTTCAGTTGTAATTTTCACTCATCTTGTTACCAAAAAGCCTAAACGAGAACACGACTGCCGTTTCATGATAACACGATGACCAAAAGACAAAGAGCAGCCGAAACAACATTATACAAACTAAAAGATAGGGTAACACGGATCCGATTAAAAACTGAAGGAGAATGAAGCGCAGGCTGCTCTCATTCCCCTTGTGTTACCTGTTGTGTATTTTATGCTTATGAGTAAAAAAATCCAAAAACCGTCAAAGTAACACAATAAAATAAGTATATTTGGACATAAATTACACTTTACGGAATAAAAGGTATTTTTCTTCTAAGAACAACAAAGGAGCAATTGAGGATAAACAAATGTAACATAACTGTGGTTATCGGTAAATTTAGATGTTTCGTAAAGAGGTGTTTGAAAATCGTTCACGACCGGATTTATCTTTATAATTTAGAACCGACCCTTGGTGACTTTTAGATTTAGGCTGTGGAGGTAGTATTGTGATGTGACCTGGATTTCCGGTGTGGAATATGCCCCACTGTAGTCACTTCATTGATTTATTATCTTTAATTGGAATGCTCTTGTCATTTGTTTTTTTTTCAGAGTTATAGCGGTACTTGAAAGTGGACTCATGCAATCTTGGAAATTGAAATTATGGCCTAAACCAGGATATTGTAAACAAATATCTGCGACGGAAGCGAAGTCAATAGGAATTTTTGACATACAAATTTCTTTTTATTTAATATCATTTGGGATAGCCATTGCAACCTTTACGTTATCTGTTGAACGGATAAAATTTTGGTGCTTGAAAACATCAAGAAAACGCGAGAGAAAAGAAGATGAAATAGACCGTAAAGAGAACAGTATAAAGACTATTGAATATGATGAAGTTTATTCAAATATCAAATAGGCGAAGGACAAGGTGTCGACAAATGTTGCAGCAGGAAAATAGATAAAAAAGACCCAACTTATTCTGATAATACATATAATTATTAACAATTGCAATAATCACATTTTTGATGAAACAATGACACACTGTAAAGACACCTGTCTATTAATTGACACCGTATGTTGACTTCTAAGTGTTTCTCGTTTTTATATAGATTTGACCATTGGTTTTCCTGTTTGAATGGTTTTACACTGGTCATTTTTGGGGCCCTTTATAGCTTGAATTGCTGTTCGGTGTGATCTAAGGCTCCGTGTTGAAGGCCGTACTTTGACCTTTAATGGTTTACTTTTACAAATTGTGACTTGGATGGAGAGTTGTCTCATGGCACTCATACCACATCTTCTTATATCTATTCTATATGTCATATGATCATTTGTGTCGTTGTGTTGCTGTATCACTGACTTGTACCCTACATGTCTGTAAATACTGTATACTCATAGTTTCAACAAAAAATAGATAAAAATTACAAGTAATAAATATAAGTAACACTGCCATATATTATTACAAGTTGTTACGAGGCTTTGGTTGAATTAAAGTTCGTCTTTATGGAGAACAATATAACAAGCGACATTACAATATAACTAATTACGTTACACATCAGAGGTTTCGGAAGATATAATGACTGCATAAGGCAAATCGGAGTAGTCTAATCCGACTCTTTCTTCTTATAGAATGATAAGTAGTGTGTGAATTATAATTGCAATGTATTGATAACGTATTGCCATCGGACATCGCTAGCTCTGTAACACTATTAAATAGCATTCAGGAATATTCATAATGTCATTATTCTGCAAACTTCTTTATAAATTGAAAGCATATTAAACCTGGTTTAATAGTTAGCTAAACCTCTTACTTACAGACATAACAGACATTGCATATAACTAATACTAAGGAATAATCTAGAAAAGGGTAATTATTGGCACCATATATTGATGAATACACCAATATAGCAGTTTGAAACTCAAAGTCCTTCACTTTTATGTCTAACAATCCATCTTGAAGTATAAAAAGTACCCAATTATCAAGCCAGAACAAGAATATTAATAAAAAAAAAAAGAAAGAAAAGAAATATTGTCACTTGTTATTGTCATCGTCACAAAAATAAGTAACCATACACTTATACAGCTTTCATTTTGTGTAAAATTATCCATCCTAAGAATAATAAAACTTTCATGCTAGGACAGAATCATCATGACAGTCGAATAGAATTCCATTATATTGACAACAATGTGCGAGCAAAACGAACAGAAATAATAGGTAAAAATGTCAAACATTGGGGTACAGCAATCAACATTGTAATATAATTGGTGTTATTATTTTGGTGTCAATCTTCGAATTAAAATGATTAAAGGGGTAACGCACCCGGTCTCGCCCCTTTTGGAGTTCATGCGATTAGCTCGGATTTAGTTTGTTGCCGTGATTTGTTTTTTGTAATCAAAGTATGAAATTTGAACATCGGTAGACTTTTGTTGCCTCAGTGTATCCGAAGATCCTATATGTTAGCTTTTCATTGTTTAAACGGTGTTAAAATCGTTTTATATATGCACTGACTGAACAGGAATCACTCGTCCACCCAAACCTCTAAAAAGTTATAATAATATAAAAGCTTCAAACATTTAATAATTTGGAATCGCATGAGGTGTGGCATACGGATAGCTCACAACATTACGTTTGTTTAAGATCCTATTATAAGTCGTCCTTCTCGGTCGATTTTAAGAAAGTGATCTTGATAGGAAGGAGACAGTTGTGTGAAAGAAATTAGTTAGCTAAGAAAACAATTGATTATCATGCAAAAATAAAATAGTTTCTGTTGTTTTGATTTATCATTTAGGACACATAGATAACGTCGACACAAGTTTGAAATCATAAAAAGGTAATACCGTCAACTTAAACGACGATAAATTGCAAAGGACCAATGTCACCTCAACGATAATCTCATGTGGAACTTAAGTTAAAGTTATCTGATAAATCATTTTAAGATAATATTTAAGACAGTATATTCCAATATATTTTGTTTGAAAATAACAATAAAAACCAACCGTTTGAATATTATGTAAGCAGCATTTTATTTTTTACGTATCAAATCCTGCTCAATGTTTACGTCTTTCTTAAAGTTTATACTACCACACTCGTTAATATCGGTATTCACTGAAAGCAGTGCAGCATATAATATGATACTACAGAATGATCAAACTAACTGAAACAGAATTCAATGCACTTTATCTGCTTAACAGAATATATTCGTTTTAACTCTCTCATTCGTATCCTCTTATGATTTTGCAGTATACATAAAAAAGTAAAAGTAAAACTATAAAAAAAACCAAAATGTTTAAATCTAGAGAACAATGCATGAATTGACCGAATCAAATGGAGTACCGGACAACAATTCAAACTGATTTATAAGTCATTACACAAATGAAATAGACTTATGTAGCTTAATTTCTAGAAAACCGAATTTAATAATCTCATTCTTATGCACGTTTTTCAGCCCTTTATTTACGACTTCTATTTTTCAAAGAAAAAGAATTGCATTGGTCAATTGAATAATCCTTGATCGTATGATCTGTCATGCTAATTGTTCCAATGTGTCTCACAGGACTATCTGGATGGATGACTATACCCTTCTTCTCCAATAATTGTCGACATTTGAGCGTAACATACTCAAAAATTAGACACATCAAAGACAGTGTTATTCCAATACCTATGAGATAAAATGCGATTTGAATATCAATAATTTGTATCGTTTTTGCTTCGGTTTTAGATTGTTCGACACAGTGACTGGAATATGGCCAAAATTTGGTTTTCCACTTTGAGATATGTCCACTTTCAAGAACTGTCATAATCCTGAAATATCGAATAGTTGAAACAGTTAATTAATCAGAAATACATTACAGATATGTTTTTAAACGCATGTGCTTTCAATTACATAAACATTACTTTTCAATAATTTAATTGAATATGTAACGTGAGGTTACATCAGGATGTGCTTTTCTAAAATTTCATAAGCACTATGATTTAATGTTTAATTACCATAATACCGGTACTCTCGTCATAAAGTTTTAGCTTTCAGTTATCAAAGCGAGATACATGTAACCTTGTTTAATAATCCAAAGAACAAATTTAAATTTGTTAACAGCAGTTAATTTGTACCGTAAATTCGACATATTTATGAAAAAATACAAGAATCAATTACGTACCCATTTGAGAATTTTGTCACAAAAGGTGAATTATTTGGAAGTCCAATGGCGTAAGTAGACATTATGTTAGTTGGTAAAAGCGTGATTTCACAATTGTTTACTAATTTTGCCGTACCAGTGTGATCATCAATAAAAGCATATTGTTCTGCTAACACTTTTTCTAAGTGTGATTTTGTTGTACTGTTAAGTACAGAGGGATCGGTTTTGTTGAATGTAACGATACCATTCCAAAACAGTTTACGATCCGGTAGATTCGAGTCCTGAAATGTAAAATTGGTCGCTACATGATAGTTGAAAGAACTTAAATTATGTAAAAGAAATGAAATGATTTGTTTACTCAAAATTGTTCTATAATCCATTTTGTTTTCCCTACTTTGTGATTCTATTAAGCATAATAAATGTGGACAAGACATATCGACTAACGCGTTAGCATTCCAAAAACATATTGAACCAAACTATGTGTTCCCTTGAAGACTGAAAACCTCACTTATAAAATTTACCAACATTGATCATTAGAAGATAACATTTGATATATTTAACCTCCAGATGATTGTTTCCCTTTGAGCAGTATCGATTAAGAACACCTGGCATTCATTATCCCGACCAAGTATGGCTAACAGTGGCCAACTTTAAAAATAAACATTTAATAAAAACGGATAGTAGAAATCATTATATTCTATTTAGCAGAAGAAGAGATACGATAAAAATATGATTCCGATTATGTTTCAATTGGAACTATTTGCCAGCTGATCAAAATTAAATGAGGACAGTTAGTAGATATTCTTCCTATTATAAATCATGACAAGTAACCATAGAAGAGAAATGATTTATAATTTGCCATTCAAAATAATAAATTGCTTTTCATATTATGTTTTTTATGTAATGGAAACAAAACGAGGATCATCTGTGAATGAACATAAATGTATGATACTGGGAGGACTCTGTCCTCTCCTTTCCTATTGTTACTTTTTCTTTACTTGATGCTGTTGTTTTGTTTGCTTTGCCATGTCAGTTGCCGTAGACTTTGTTGTCGTCCTTATCAATTCGAATTATAACTTCATTAGTTTGTCGATTTGTAAATGTAAATATATAAGAATAATGAATTGTATTTTGCTTTAAGGGTCTTACAGTGAAAATAGAAATAAATTTCCAAATTTGAGTTATAAAATTAGGTGAATTAAATTTTAACTTTTGTATGCATTACCATACCATTTACATTTTATGTAAAACCACATTTCATAAATAATGCGTAAATCATGTTATGACATTACCTTGAAAATAGATTCGTATATTGAATCACCTGTTAAGCCCCATTTATACTCATCTTGAGCAATTAGGCTTTTGATATCATCAAATGGATGGTTTTGTTTTCGAATTGTCAAAAAAGCCACAAAATTCCCGCTGTACGTGGCCGCCATTATGATGCAAAATATCCACCAACAGCTTAGAAGTGTCCGTCCTGATGAAGAAGCCGCCATATGTTCTCCGCCTGAAATGTGCAAATGATAAATGTTATCAGTTCCGTAGCACCTTATTGTATATTGGACAGGCAGAAAAATATTGACAACAATTTTGATTGTATTTAATTCTTAATTAGTTCAACTGTAACCAATAAAATAAATTTTCACGGAATAAAATTCTCAACAATCCAAAAAGTAAACAAATGCACAAACTTATGTAACGATATTGCTGTTATCGGTAGAGGCTAATGTAGTGTCTTATCATTGCTCACACAATGTTTGTGACAATAGACATCCGTAGAAAAAATTGTGATTTACCTTGTGTTAATAAAGCTCCATACATATACCAGAAGGAATCAGACATATTATGTAGACCTCTTTCCCCCTGTCTTTTGTTGTAAAATGGGGTGGTATTTTCAAGAAGACAAAGTATAAAAGACGCAAAAGGTAGACAAACTCCAATCAAAATTAATACTGTTGGACTCAAAGGATCTAGGAGTCGTGTCCATTTTGAATTTTCTGGATTTGATTTTTTGAAAATTATTGACGAAAACTCATAAAAGTAGGGATACGTAAAATCCATAACTGTTTCCCTGTCTGAATGCACTGTTAGTGATGCTGCTACAATGTCTACCTCCTGAAAATATTATCAAAGGATATATATAAATCGGCAAAGCAACGTTTGAGTAAATTTATTAAACTTCGATCATTTCCGATCGAACCATGACTATATACACTAACATCAATATTTTTTTTTATATTACAAAATTTAATTTTCTAATACAACATATGTAATAATATGATACATATATGTTATAAGTAATATATATTTTATGAGAATACTTATTTGAAAAAGTACTCAGTTTCTGGTGTGTACTATATTTTTCAATTTCTATATATTTCAGACTACTGTGACATTTAAACGTCTGTATAAAAATAAAGTTGCCTATAATTAAGATCAAGCTTTACTGATTATTGCCAATAGATACAACCAATGCAATGTATATCTCAATGAATTAAACAAACCCTTCGTTGTAGTTGACCTACCATACCATTCCATGTACCATTATATTTTTCAGCTCCCCACTTCCCATCAGGTGGCGCTTGAATTTCATATCTATTTATTGTCGAAAGCATATATTTATTATTTATTCAAAATATCACACTTAAGAGTTTCATGATAGTTCTCTGACTGGTTATATTTTGCACCGATTGACGAAATGGCGTTTACAAAACAACAACTTTTGGTCTGCAAAATTATTTGTTTGGTTATTACATAGTTCGGTGAACAAGTTTTATTTTCCTAAATGGCGAACCATTTATTAAAAGGTGTTGTATGTCGTAGTTTTATACGACTGGAAACGGAAACAAAATCTAATCTTTAAGAATATTTGGACATCGATGTCAATGTAAGCTGGGAACTTCGGAACATTTTCCCAGTATAATAACAATTTGAATGAAAACTGAATTAACTTTTACTGAAAAATAATTAACAGATGTTCAAATGTCATAAATGGATTTAGAAAATACAACTGTAGGTATCAGACTAAAACGGAGGGAATCTCATAAAGGCGCAAAACTGGGTGCTTTGACAGGGTAAACTTCTCCAGCTAGGCATGCATCACCGCCATGCAAATCCACATTCAGTCAAAATATCACAATTGGAAATACATGTATGATACAATCGGTAACATTGTACATCAGACGACATTTCTGGTTTCTCAATATATAAGACCACAAAAACATGTCGCTATTGATTTGAGACACTCAAATTGTATCTGTCAACTAGTTTGTGATAGTGACAGAAACATGTATGTAGTTTCGATTTCAGACGTTATTCATCATAACTCTGTTTAAGCAGTATTTGTGTAGGGAGCACACGATGAAATGATGTAATATCTTGTATACACTTGAAATAAATCAGGTCTTTTTTCTATTCCGAAAAATAAGTTAGGATAATAAGTTTTCTCTCAGTATCAAATATCCGTATGTTTATGATCTTATCAAATGCTCGGGACTTATATTCGTGTTTGCTGTTTTTTTCGCGAACTATGCAGTTTTAACATGCAAAGTCAAAACAGTCAAAACATAATGTTCAAATCTTAATGAATATTTATACATACGGAAATAGTACATTAAAAGTTGACTTCTTGTTTCGACAGTTTAGTGTTTTTGTATCACATTAACATATACTTGTGTGAACCATTAATATTTTATAGATTACGTAAGACATTAAAATAATGTACTTTCATACTCCATAACAGCAGATACATCATTCTTTTCAATTTCGTGCCATGTCTGTATGTTCTTTATTGAATGTTTGATCATTGATACTAGGATACCATAAACATGCACATT